GTGGTTCTGGAGATACTGATAGTTTTTGCTGATTATTATTGTTATTACCACTGGCTTGCTGCTTCTGTTTACCTTTGTTTGATGCAGTGGTTGTAGGTGCATTTGCTATAGTGATTGCAGATGCAATATCAGTAGTGGCAGTTGCAGGTGCAATATCAGTGGTAGTAGTTGTGAATGCAATATCAGTAGTGATAAAACTATTGCTAGTAGCGTTATTAGGATTATTGGTACTATTTTGGAGAATGATGGTACTGTTACTGGCATTGTTAGTGGTAGTATTGCTATATTGATAGTTGTTTGTGGTGGTTCAATAATTGTTACTGGCATTGTTGGTAGAACAATTATCATTCATTTCATTTTTCAGTTCTGTTAGTCCACAGTCCTCTAGTGAAAATTATAATCTAGTAGTACTAGTGGTTCTAATGCCTTCATTACTTTGATAATTATAGACATTGTTATCTTGTTCTTGTATGCTTGGAGTTGGAGGTTAGGAAGCTTTTTTTAGTTCTTTAACTTCACTTATTAACGAATGAACTGCTTCCTTCAAAAAACTGATCTCTAGTATTTACAAAATAAACTGTTAGATTTATCGGTATATAAATAGCTTTATTAAAAAAAAAAGTCTTAATAGTACCTCTATCACTTCTGTCAGGTGTCCTAGAATGTCTATTGGAATATTTATAACTTCTTTTATAAGAAGGAGAGCAGGACCTGGACCTGCATGTAGATCGTTGATATCGATTAAAACGAGGTAGCATTGGTAACCAATTGCAGCTTCATGAAGTAGTTCTAGAATAATTTTGGCTTTGTGAAGGTGTCGAATGATAGCTTTGTCATAATGGCATAGAAGAGGAAACTGATCGACATCGAGGTACTATTCTAATTTTTTGGGTGCTTTTTCTATGCATTTTGTTTTTAAAAACAAAAAAGAACAAAAATAATAAAAGTTTTTTAGGCAAATAGGTTTTTATTAATATCAGTTGTTCAGTTGATTTAAAGAAAGAAAAAAAAAGACAAGAAAAATAGTCCTTATATAATAGCCTACCTTAGATTTTAATATATAATGCTGTTGTATCTAATTAGAAATGATGATATTATGGTTACTACTAAATAAAATATAAGCGAAAAAAAAAGTATATCAACTAACGTGGCTCAAATAAAAGTATAATATATTATCGACATGAAAGCTAAATTCTACTAATGTGTACTTAAGTAAGATATGATATATTATATAAAAATAAAGAGTTAAATCAGTTAACGTAAGCATAAAGAAAGCATGACTTATTTATAGATTAAAGTGCGCAGATAAATTGACATCTGAGTTAAAATTGAATCTAATCGGACTTGCATAATATTGCATGATCTATAGAAATTAACTTGTATATTATGCAAATTCGATTTGTAATATTCATATACAATATACTAAAAGTATTAATTACGAATTTGTTTATACTATTGATTAATGATAGTCTATGTTCAAATAAAACAAAAAACTTATCAGACATATCGATGTTTTTAATAGATTTAAAAATACAATCAAGTATATTATAATTGTTGAAACAAAAAAAGCCAGACAATATATCAATACTGATAGCTTTATTACTAATTATAATATTTATATTCAATAAACTAAAAATATTGATTACGAATTTGTTTATAGTTAAAAGAAAGAATACTATTGATTAATAATAGTTTAACTTAAAATAAAGCTAAAGACTTATCAGCATACTGATTTTTAATAGATTTAAAAGCCGATCAAGTAAATATTAAAACAAAAGTATAATTAT